GGTGCCTGCGAATGCAAATTAACCCATCTTTGTTGGGTTAATTTGCATACTCACTCCTGATTGGCTGGTGGGCATCATGAAGGTGAGGTCAATTTGCATCTTTCTTTTATTAGTGTAGCTTTTCCATATGAACAACTGTAAACTTACTTTTGCCCACTCCTGTGTGGTGTCAGATAAATGCTAGATTTATCAGGGTGATCACTTTGTAAGTTATGTAAATGTTGAATCACTATGGTGTGCTCATGAAACTAATCTAATATTGTATGTCAACTAAAATTGAAATTTTTACGTTCTATGGGTTTTGACAAATGTATAATGGATACATACATCTCCTTTACTGGTATACTAAGAAGTGTGATTGCTGGATTGTATAATGAGTATATTTAGTTTTGTATGAAATCACCAAACTATTTTCCAAAGTGGCTGTACCATTTTATATTTCCACCAGCAATGAAAGAGAGTTCTTGTTGCTCCAATTTGGAGCATTTGGTGTTGTCAATGTTTTGGATTTTCACCATTCTAATAGGCGTGTAGTGGTTCTTCTTTTTAACTAGAGGCCTGGTGCACAAAAAACTGTGCATTGGCAGGGGGGCGTTCCTCAGCCCGGCCTGTGCCCTCTCAGAGTCTGGGACCCCTTGGGGGGATGTCCACCTGCTGGCTTAGGCCCGCTCCCTGGGGGGGGATTGGGCCTAAGCTGGCAGTCAGACATCCTTCTAGCAGCCCGGGAGCCCTCGGGGGATGTCCACTTGCCAGTGGGGAGTCTAGGGGACTGTCTAGGGCGGGGGGGAAAATGGACACATATGTAATACCCTTTGTAATACTTTAAGCAATAAAAAAAATATTTAAAAAAAAAAGAGTTCTTTGTACATTTTGGATTCAGATCTCTTATAAGATAAGTGTCTTGCAAATATAGCTTGCCTTTCCATTTCCTTAATAGTGTCTTTTGCAAAGTTATTCATTTTAATTAGGTCTAACCTATCTATTTTTTCTTTCATGAATGGTGTTTTTGGTGTTATACAGTGGGGCCTTGACTTACAAGTTTAATTCATTCTGTGACAGAGCTCATAACTCAAATTACTCGTATGTCAAATCAACAGTAAACGAGTGAGACACGTGATGCTGGGCTGATGTTGTGGCGTTCACTGTGACATTCGCTGCACCACCTAGCGGTGGGGTATCTGAAGCTGGCTTGTAACCTGAATTTTAGCTCGCAACTCAAAGCAAAAAATCGACAGAGAGATGGCTCGTATCTTGAAAAACTCGTTAGTCGGGACACTCTTAATTCAAGGCCCCACTGTATCTAAAAACTCATCACCAAGCCAAAGTCACCTAGGTTTTGGCTTGTTATCTTCAAGAAATTTTATAGTTTTGTATTTTACATTAGTTTATGATCTATTTTTAGTTAATTCTGTGAAAGGTATAAGGTCAGTGTCTAGATTAATAATTTTTTGCATGTGGATGTTGTTTGAACATTTGAAAAGACTATACTTTCTCCATTGAATTGCCTTTGCTCCTTTGTCAAATATCAGAAGGTTTCTTCTGTTTTAGCTGGAATTACATTGTCTTAGTCTGAACACTGCAGATTTAATTGATTAAGAATGAAAACAATGAGCTTAACAAATGAATTTTACTTGATATCAAAGTATTTCAAAATATGGGGACTTTGAGAACAAAACAATAAAAGGGGCCCTTGGTGAGAAGGTGGAGACCATCATGTCGGAATGTTGTAATTTCTATTAAGGTTTGTGAGAGTAACCTATAAACTTAGACATAAAAATTCAGTATTTAGGAAGAAATATATTCTCTCTAGAATTGGTAGTAGCCTAAAATATACTCTAATCTGCTGCTGA